ATGTATCTTCCTTGAAAAAATGTTTATTTTCCTTTGCCCAATTTAGTTGGGTTATATGTCTTTTTATTATTGAATTGTAAGAATTCTTTATATATTTGGATACAAGTCCCTTATTATATATCAGTGTGAGTTCAGTGTGTGTGTGTGTGTGTATGAGAGAGAGAGAGAGAGAGAGAGAGAGAATGAATGTGTGTGAGCAAAGGGAGATTTCAAGATGACATCTCCCTAAATAGCAACCCAGTCCAGACTGGAGCAAGTCAGAAGACTCCTGAAGGTATTTATATCTCTTCAAGACGACGGCATTAATAGAATATGGCACACAGTATGTTTGAATATACCAAGGGGAGTTAAAAAATTGGTGGAGAGTTTGGGGTTAGGTTAGCATAAGTAGTGTGCAAAAAAAATTAAATTAAACAATGAAACATAGTTAGATAGCAGCCAGCCAGCCAGCCAGACAGACAGACATTGGTGGGCTGCAGTCATCTCATTAAATCTTATGAGAAACCCTGAACCAGAATTGCCCAGCCATGGGATTCCTGAATTCCTGATTCAGCAAGAATGAATTAAATAATAAGTTTTCATTGTCATTTTAAACCACTAACTTTTAGATTAATTTATTATGCAGCAATAAATAAATAATACAGATCTTGGTACTTGGAAGTGGAGTGTTGCCATTTCAAAAACATAAAAACGTGGGAGTGAATTTGGAACTTATCAGTGGGAGGAAGGTGGAAGAGCCTTGAGAATAGGGAAAGACTAAAGATCCTTGGAAAGACTTATTATAAGCTTGATAGACTGTGTAAATGATATAAGTAGAACTTGATGGAAAATGAGAAAAATGTTATTGGAAACTAGAGGAAAGGAGATCTTTTCTATATAGTGGCAAAAAAAATTACCAGTTCTGTCAGCTACTTGCTGCTTATGTAACATGCAAGAGGGGTGCTTTAAAGGAAGAACTTTTCAGTATAAAGGAGTCAGGAATTGTTGGGTTTAAAAATTCCCAGCTCTTTCAATGGGAAACGATGCAAAAAGTGGAGCTGGCTTTCTGGCAAAGATTAAATCCAGGACACAATCAGAACAAAATAGTCTAAAAATAAAATCAACATGTAACTATAATGTCTTTGTAATGACCTCAAAAGGTTTAAAGCAGTGCCTTAAAGAATCATTCTATCACACAATAAGGGCTTCTTGGTAGCTTACAGGTATTGTCCCTCAGAAGCCTTCCAAGGAATCAAAGGTAGAGAAGGGCTTTCTCAGAGATTTATGGGTAAGTTTTTTGCCTAATGGTATGAAATCTGGTAAGATTCCTAAGAGACCTGCAAAGTTGTTAAAGTATTTGTATTAGCAGAAACACCACCATCTTGGGAGAAACTGAGTCCTCCTGCCAAAATCCAGCATCAGTGTGTGAGCCATGTGTAAAAAGCACTTGGGAAATAAATCTTTCAGCCTTCAGGAAAATGCAGCCCTGACTGACAGCTTGCCTGTAACATCATGGGACGTCCTACGACAGCTAGCTGTTCCCAAATTCCTGACAGACAAAAGCTATGACAAGTAATGAGTGTTTATTATTATTTTAAGTCACCGAATTGGTGTTAAGTACTTATTCAGTAATAGATTACCAGTGGATATAGCCAAAACTATGATATAATCATAATGGGGAATGACCAACCTCTCAAAAATCTATCCACCTGACTATATAAAGGGAATTTTCTATGATCATGTTTTTGTAGGGAGGCAATAAGGTTTTCCCTTTTTTCATAATTTTCACAGTGATAGACTGATAACACATAACCAGTATTTTTAGCATCTATCTTAAAAAATGAATAGATTAAAAATAAAATTAGAGATGGAAAGAAGCTTAGAGATTACATAATTTAAGTTCTCTGTTTAGTACAGTGTTTTAGAAATAGTAGGTGTCAGTAAGTGGTTTTGGTTTATATATGACGTATGACTATTTATTCTTACGGTATTATTTAAAATTTTGATTTATCAAAGTAATTCCCATACATAATTAATTATATATCACTAATATCTTTCTTATGAAAAGCAATCCTGTGCCCACTTTCCCAACTCTTGTCCACCAAGGCAGCCACTTTTACCTCCATGACTTGCATCTTTTGATAAGTACCCTCATAATTTCAGATAATAAGCATATATTATTGTTTCTTGATTTATTAACTTTAGAGAGTATTTACTGACTTTCTATTATGATCAATGAGAGTTTCTTACCCCAACTTCTTTTCTTCATTTTCTCAGTAGAATTAGAATTTTCAGTTAAAACAGTACTCAGTGTTTACACTATTATGACTGTAAATATTGTTCAGAGCCGATTATGTACGATGATTATCTGCTGTGATATGGATGTTTGTTTTCTTGGGGTTAGTTGTTTCCTTTCCTTTCATTTGCTTAATTTTCAGTGCATGTACTGCTTGTTTGTCCCTAATGCATCAACAGATAGTTTAATGCCTGGCAATCATTGTTTCAACTTCTCAAACACATCAGATATTCCACCAGTTCCTTTTCTTCCATCCTGGAAACCTCTGCCCTCCACAGCAATCTGTCTTCTCCATGTAATCTAGAGAGTTGCTCTCTAGCCCAGCTATCATGCTAGGACTTTCTTTAGCCATTTTGGTTTGGGGATGGTTTTTGAATTTGTTGATGTGATTATAACTAGAATGAGGAAGCATTAATATTTTAAAGAGAATCTTAAATTATTAATATATACTGCTTAAATGTCCTGCATTCACCAGCTTGTGAGGTCACATAAAATGGGATCACATTTACTTTGGATGCCCAAATTATAATGGGTCAAATCCTCACAGTTGGAATGCAAGATCTCAGCACCACTAACTTTGCAAAGTGACCCTGGAGTTCATCTGTGGGTCCTAAAAAGGGTCTCACGTGTGCTCATTACCTAGTCTATCCATAAAACTTTCGCCCTGTCTTCCACTTCCACTCTGCCCCAGCCAATATACATTGCCCTGAATGTTGTTGGACGTATCCCTCATGCTGACAGTGTCCTTCACTGTTGATGGTGTCCCTCATAAGGTTGGTGTTATATTTGCCAAGGGTGTTTTTACCTGATTTTGCCATTTCCAAGAAAACCAGGGAGTACTAAGCTTGATGGGAGGTAATAAGAACGACCCTTTCCCAAATTCCACACCGCTTTCCCACTTCCCTTTTTCCATTGCTCAAAGTCCAGAGCTCACAGACTCTTTCAGCTTCTCCTCTTTGACGTTTCCTGCCTACATACCTGCCCCTAATTTCTCTGTCTAAACCAAAAACAATTAACAGTCACAACCAGCTGCTAAGCACCCATTTTGTCAGGGGCAACACAAAAGCTGGAAGGCTCAGAAATGCATCTCAGCCACATAACTCGTTAGCAAGCCAGAATGTTTAACCTTTATGTTCTAGCGAGTTTCTTCAGCCAAAGAGGCAGTCAGCTTTAGAGTGAAATGAAGTCTCCATTTTAGAGCTAAAACACCACTTGTACCTTTCAAATGATGGATCTATTTTTCTGCTAAACATAATTTTAATGGCTTTGAGTCTACTCTCAATCCAAGTATCATATTGCACATCTTTAAGTATGTTCCTTTTCTGTTAGAAAACCCCAAATATTTTTTTTCCCTTAGGAAAATCTGGAAAACCTTCGTAGATACATGTTGGTGATAAAACAAATAAAATACTAAATATTTCAGACTTTTCATTAATCAGACTGGCCTTTCATCTAAAATTGTCTTAACTTGATGAGTTAGCATTTTCAAAACATACTTAAAGATGGAGATGTTGTCAACAGAGAGACTGCTTGCAGACCACAAGAGACGAAAGATTTTTTTGCTTGTGAGCTTTAGAGTACTACTATGATGGTCCTTTTTGCCAAATGAGATAATCATCTTCAAAGTGAAGGCCATGTTATTTCAGAAAGAAATTTCAGGTGGTCCATTTCCCTCCTCTTTAATGTTCCCATTTTCTTTACTTAGTGTATGAGGATATTTGAGTTCATGACTTACCCTGTCAGTAAGAGGGAGAGCCAGGATTTTAACCCAGGTCTATTTGACCTCAAAACTGGTGGCTCTTTTCTGCTTACTATATCACAATGTGTCATTTTGGGTGGGTACAGAGATGACCTTAAGGAAGAAGAGCTGATCTGGGAAACTCCCCAGTCATGTGGATTATCTGGGATTTCCCTGGCATATATAATGGTTCCTTGGTGACACACACTCTGTGGTGAAGGATGTTCTGCATATGATCCCTTGTGCAAACTAATCCCAAATTGAAACAGGATAGTAAGAAGCTAGGAAAATTCCTGGGCAAATGGAACGGGGAAACCGAGACAAAATTAAACAAGGCCAACAGTTTGAGCAACTTAGAGCCACCTAGTGAATCAGAAGATTTTGTCTCCCCTAATCAAGAGCATTTGAGTATGAAGGGTTTATTCTTCTCCTCCCTAACTGGAGAATACATAACCTCCCTAACCATAAACCAAATGTGTTGGGGGAAGAGAAGCATTCTAATGCAAACGGAGAGATACCACCAGAACAAAGGGAGCCAGCTAGGGAAGAAGCTGCTGGGACCCCCCTTTCACGCCCGCCCCCCCCCCCGCCCCCGCTTCCCTTACTCCTAAGAGAAACAGCATGTCTGTGCTCCCCCTAGAAATTTCCCCCTCCCAAACTCTGATGTTCCCCCTATATAAACTTGCTTCTGAAAGCTCAAGGTAAGGTGGATGTTAGGGTTTAACCTGCCACCTTCTCAGGTTGCTGGCCTCTGATATTAATAAAAGAGCAATTATAATCCAATGCCTGTCTCTGCTTTTTGGCTGAGTGATGACAGGCAGTACAAGCCCTGGACTTGGTTGCCCTTCAGTTTCAAAAACCTCACTGTCCCTGTTCTTTCTTCAATTGCCTTTTCTTCCATCCCTTTTTTGGACAGAATTCAAGTAACTGGTTGTCGATCCTGCACTCTGCTGTCTATAAGCCATCCAAATGGCAGACCCGGCTTACCTTTCCTATGACATCTGTTAACAGCTTGAGGGCCAGAGGATCATGAACCAAAGAGTCTGTGTAAAAGGAACCGAGGTATTTCTTTGGATTGATTGGATTGTCCTGGGCACACAGATCTGGGCGCATGCTGAATCCATGGGAGATCCTTCCTATTGTAAAGGGGAAGGCTCCACCTGAAAGTAAAATTCCTTACTGAGAGGCATCCTCCCATTGAAAAGGATTCCTTTTAATTCTCATGCTGTATGCAAAGAGAAGTTACTATACCCCAGCTGGTTAACGGTAGCAAAGAACCTGCTGGGTTCCAAATCCTGAGAGGTGACCCAGAAGAAACAACATGAATTCATCTAGAAATTCAGATTTAAAGAATTTATTCTAGAGAGAGGACAAGTATGTAAGATATGTGGTCAAAGTTTTTCAAATGTATTGTGGTTATAACAAAATACTGAAGTAACCTATGATGACATATCTATAAAATGTATTGCCACGCATGTAATCATCAAAAATGATGATGCTCTTGTACTTATTAACATGGAAAGATGTCTCTATGCTGGTGAGAGGGAAAAGCAGATTAGAGAGCTGCATGTAGCGTTTGTGTGTGTGGATGTCTAGGAGTCACAAATTCAAGCAGGAAATGTAAATGAATGAGATAGGTCTGCTTGTAAACAATGATGAATGGTAGGGATTACTGAACACTGGAGAGTTTGTAGTCAAACAAGAGAGATTTAAATGAAAAATAAAGCAAAAACTGTGCCAACAAAATTAAACTTGTCTGCAAAAATGGAATTTGGTCCCTGAACCATCATGTACTTTGTGACTAGAAAATTACTGAAAGAATGTTACAGACTAAATTGTGTCCCTCCAAAATTCATATGTTGAAGCCCTAACCCCCAATGTGACTGTACTTGGAGATAGGGAGGTCCTTTAAGGAAATAATTAAGATTAAATGAGATCATAAAGTAGTACCCTAATCTGATAGGACCGGTGTCCTCATAAAAAGAGGAAGAAACAACAGAGTGCTCTCTCCTTCTCATTCTCTGTCTCTCGTTTTCTCTCTCTCTCTCATTCCTCTCTCTCTCCCCCGCCCTCCCTCTCTGTGCAGGCACAAAGTAAAGACCATGTGAGGACACGGTGAGAAGATGGCCTTCTAACAATCCAGGAACGGAGGCCTCAGTAGAAACCAACCCTGCCTGCACTTTGATCTCGGAACTCTAGATCTGTGAAAACATTAATTCCTGTTGTTTAAGCCACCAATCAGTGATATTTTGTTATGGCAGCTGAGCTGACCAGTTCAGGTGGGGTCTTACCTCCGTGTGCAAAGCACACTTTCAGTTTAGGAAACTTCTCAAACACTCCACCCATGATCATGGAGCAAATGGCTGTGGTGGTCTCTGCTGGCATTCCTGAAAGAGGAAAGAGTCACAAGGCTTGTCACATCTAGCAAGAAGTCCAGTGATGCTCATGGCTGGGGAATAGCGGCTTGCTACAATTGTCAGTGCTAAGAAACAGAGGGCCCTGTGCTCCAGCATGGCTTGGTTATCTACATGCTGTTACCTTGGCAGGCAGAACCATTGGATGCTTCCTGTTTGCCGCGTGCAGGTAGAGTCATTCATCTCATGGCTAGAATAATCAAGCAGCCAGAGGATCTAGCTTTTGTCCTTATTCATGCAGCTTCAGTTTTGGATGCAGTGGGGAAAGAGAGTACAATGAGTCTGGGCTATACCCTAACTCCTCCAATTTTTTGCTTTCCTGACTTTGACAAATTATTTAAAACCCCTGAGCCTGTGCTTTTTCACCTGTGAGATGGGGACAGTCTCGCCCATCTTGCAAGGTTATTGAGGAGCCCTGCAAATAATAATGTGGGGGAAGTTCTTGGCCAGAAGCTCACATTGAAGGTGTTCAACAAATACTAGTTGCCTCCCTGTGCCTCAGCTTCCTCATCTATAAGATGGAGATAATAATGGTTAGCTCTTGCCACTTAGTAAGTGCTCAATGAGTATTGACTAATACTATTACTTCCAAACTTTTGCTGCTTCTTAGAGCTAAAGTTGAAAATAACTGAATTAAAATGAATTATTTCAAGTGCTTTGTGATCCTAGAGGTAGCTCTTTCATGCCTGATGCCTTTACTTCCATGGAGTCAGTCTGGGTTACTTTTTCAGATTGGTAGTGGCTGTTGCTCTGAGTGAGAGAGGAGCCACAGGAAATGCCTGAGGCAGCCCAAGTGAAACCATACTGCTGTACTTGAGGACAGATTTCCCCACATCCAGGCAAAGACACGCAGGAGGCCCAGCACAGAGTACCCGTGAGGCTAGCAAGAGTGATTGACAAAGGGAAAAGTCCTCCTACCAGAGGCCACCTGTGTACTGTAAAGGTCAACATGGCCGCTTGGGGAGGTGCTGTCCTGTCAGTCTAGCCTGGGAAAAGGATGGGATTGGCTGCGGGAGCCGAACCCTTCTGGAGTGCACAGAATTTTGGGTCAGGATATTTAAACCAAGGGAAGGGAGAAACTCTCTTCTCTCTAGGACCCACTACCACACATGTGCAGGCTGGAGCCCTTGCAGGACTGGCTGGTTTTGGAAGCTGTGTGGTGATGGCGGATGGCAGTGTTGGCCTCGCACGTGGACCCCACGGAGGGAGCCTGAAGCTAGAGAGCCATCTGCTTAGCAGCCTCCGGCTCCAAAGGCCACATAAGGACGGAGCGGGATTTCTGGACATGGTTTTGGGTTTCAGTCTTTTTGGGAACAGATGGGCTTTGTCTGGGTTTTGTGGAAGAGATTGGCGTCTCAAACTGTACAAAGTTTAATAAAGATCTCTTTCCTTCCCACCAATCTTTGTCTTTGGAATGTGCCAATGGGTGGTGGCAGTGGGCAGCTGAATCCCACTTTCTGTTCAGTAAAAAGATGATTGCTTTTCAGACTGTGATTAAGAAATCTCTGGGGGCTCCATAGCTGAGCCTTGCATCTTCTGAAGAAGCCTGATTCTTTGACTTGCCTAATGGGGCTTTAACAGATGTTCATCATGCCACATTGCTCCATGGACAGGGATGCCCTTTGCTCCCTGGCCTCTTGGGAATTCTGGAAGCATGATGGATCCATGTCCATCTGGGAGTGGATAAAGCTTCCTGAAGGAAGGGAGATGAACAGCATCACTTGCTTTTGGTCCTGCGATTCTGCTTTCTATTAATTACTTGGACCATAACACCACAATCCATTCTCCATACAGGAGCGAAAGTAGGATATTTACAGTGTTAATTGATTATGGCCCTGCCCTGCTGGGAATCCTCTAATCCACTATTGACCACCTTTGCATCCAGAATAGAATTCTGAAATTAGCCTGTTTGTTTGTTTGTTTATGATCTGTGTATTCACATATTGCCTTTTACCTCTAACCAGTACATAAGCTTCAGGAGGGCAGAAGTTTTGTCCATGTTTTTATCTTTGGTGCCTAGGATAGGGTCTGATATTCTGGAGAAGATCAATATATATGTGCTGCATAAACAAATGATGAATGACCCTTTATGCAAATACTCTCTTCTGTTTTTCATTTAGGAAGTTGCACTGTAAATAAGTTTGTGGACTTTCACACTTGCATAAGACTAGCAAGAGTGACTGACAAAGAGGAAAGTTCTACTGCCTTCTGGTCCCAGAAGACATAGCGGCACATGGACCATAAGTGTTGTGTGAATTGGGATGAGATTGTATTTGAAGCTGGAAAGCATTGGGGCTTCTTAGGTTCTCGTTCTATGAATTGTCACTCAAAATGTGGTGGAGAATGGGTAGGAAGCTACCTTGCTAAATACCCTGTCTCCAAAAGCAGTGCTGGGAGCATAAAATATCAGAGCGGAAAGAGAATCTAAACCAGCTCTCTCATTTTACAGATGAATAATGGGGGCCCAAGGAGGTGAAGAGACTTGCCACAGATTATACAAAAAAGTAGACTAGCTGAAAATGAAATTCAGGTTTTTTTATTTTCAATATAGTGCTCCATTTAATTCTTTATAGTGATTACTTCATAATTACTTGTATTGATGGGCTGAGAAGAAAAATAGCATGAAAAATCTAATGCTATTCATTTGGGACCACTTTTCCTTGGGTTTGTAGATGAGCTGCAGTTTTTACTTTTGGCCCTAGAATTTTAAATCTGTCTTCATTTCTTTTTCTTATCAGGGATGATAATGAGGAATTGGATAGCCAGATGGAGGTCTCTCCTCTTTCCCTTTCCCTCATGTGAAATCAGGAATGATTAGAGCAGGAGGCAAAAGGCTTATATAAGGTAGGGCCTCCTTGGGTGGTGTAAGGAGACCTTCCACTCCTAATTCCAGAGTTCTCATTTGTAAGCACTGATGCTATTATTGGCTTCTAAAAAGTTCCATTTGCCAGGCACGGTTACTTATTTTTGGGAGTCTTTGTAGTGAGGTGGTTTTGGAATCAGATTGATCTGGGTAAATTCCATTCTCACGTATGAACTCTGTGTCTTGGGAAACTTTCCTAACCACTCTGAGAATCAGTTTCCCAATTTATAAATGGTTATTTTAATGTCAACCACATAGAGTTTTTTGTGGATACGATTAAAATTAAATGAGGTAGTATATACAGCATCCTGTTAATAAGTCTTACTTTCTCTCTTTGATTTAATAGTGTTCCATAGATTTGGAAAAAATAAAAAAGATTAGATCCTTTTTTTTAGACTTCCAAGCTGACACAAACCTACAAGCCAAGGGAGCCAGTATTTCGCCATCCGTCCATCCATTTGCATGTCCCAGGGGTGCACGAATAGGGAACAGTTCAGCTTTTCAGCTGCCTTCAAAGAAGGGATGAGAGAGAGGGTTATTTAGGTGAGCCAGCAGATACAGGATACTATTTTATGGAAATTGCTTTTCTCTATACTGATCTGAATACATAAACCAAAATATTTTTGAAGTTGTTTCCTGATCTTTATAAAAGAGTCATTGATGAACTTTGCTCCTTCTTGGAAAATAAAAAGGACACTTAGATTTAACAAAGGGATTGTGGATTTACCCTTGAGGTTGATGAATTTAATATATTGTTTGGCAAAACAAGTCACAGGAAACATCCATCATTCAAGTGTTTTGGCTGAGAGCAAAATGTGTAAGGACTGATCTTGTACCTCAAATGCTGGGGAAATTTCCCCTGCTGGTTCCTTCTTGGTCTACTCTTTTGGAAAGACTGCTCAGATTGTATCTTTGGAGTCAGGACTGGAGTGTTCCCTCCCTTCGTTCTTCTACCTGGAAGCCTGAGGATGTGGAAAGTGAGGAAATGATGCACTGGGAGTCAGGGATTCAGGGCTGAACTGGAGTGGGCTGGCCCAGCTGAAGCCTTCTGGTCACCCATAGCCTGATTCTGGGTTGGAATTACTGGGGTCTGCAGGCTCCCACAAAGCCTCAGGAGCTCAGCTGAGTCCCTAAATAGTCTGGTGTGAATGAAATGATTTTAGAAAGGAAAGAGCTCCCAATGCTTCAGTCAGGCATGTACTGAAATGAAGCCCATTAGGCAAACCTGTTCCAGGGCCTCCTGGGAAATGGTAATATCATCTGGATGGATGATCTTTATTCAACAAAATGCTTACTTTAAAAATGTTCCCTCAATAGGCATGAAGTATTAGTGCTTATCAAGGTTCAAAACAGATTTTTCTTAGCACATTTCTTTTCCAAATATATTGGGGTGCTGAGATGACTCCTCCTATCTTTACATATTAATATGTGGGCTAACTAGTGTGATACAATGTGACTTCTGTACATAGCATTTTTAAAATGGAGAAGCAATTCTGAGACAACAGGGGATTCTGGAAGTGGCAGGCAGGGGGTAGATTGGAGAAAGGACTTCTAATTCAATAGGTCCTGAGGAATAGAAGAAATATGAACCTTTTGATATAAATCTGATAATGAATGCAGGCTAGAATGAGAATATCAGCTTCTTGGGGTAGTTTAGGCTTGACAAAGACACTTGATCACAATAGCTCAATGGGATTTGACTCCTTATTTATACAAAACTTGATTCTATAGCCTATGATGGTTTATTTCTATTCAATTCAAATTAACAAATATTTTTGGTCACCTTCTGTATGTGAAGTATTGTAGAGAACACAAACTGAAGTCATTTATACTCTCAAAATCACAATTCATATTAACTGAGAAATTACTGTGTGCCAAAGCTGTTATAAGACTTGTACAATTATTAGTTTAATTCTTTATGAAATGAGCACTTGTATTACTCCCATCTTACAGAGAAGCAAGCAAAGGCAGTTAGAGGCTAAGTAGTTTTCTCAGGTCTTGAGGCTGATAAATGGTAGAGGCAGGTAGTCTGCCACTACCATCCTGTCTGCCTTCTACTTAGAACAAGTCCTTTTTGTGCCTGAAAACTGACATGAATGTGTATTTTTTGGGTTCACTCATTAAGAAGGGAGGTCTAGGAAATAAGGGGGACAGTCAGATGCTCTGGAGCTCCAGGCTGACCTTAAAATGACAAAGACAACTTGGCCCATGGTAACCCCTCTTATTTGTTTCAGCCCATGTTATTGACGCAAGTTACAGAGTAGTGAGGCTGGCAAGTCTTGCTATCCAAACAAATGTGCCGTCAGCCCCGGGACCCTGGAAGTCAGCTGGGGCCAGGCTGCTCTCCTGAATCCCCTCAGAGATCGCCAGCCCCCAAACAGCCTAGCTAGAATGATGGATGGGCCAAGCAAGGCACACAAATGAAGATACTATCCATCTGGACCCCAATCAGCTGCTGTTGCTTTCTGAGCCCTTTAGTAATTCATAAACCAAATTCGAGTGAATTATAAAATGATTTGCAGCTGAAGGTTTGCTCACACTGTGCTGAAAAAGCTTGGATGAACAAGTAAATAAATCTTCTTTCAAAGCTCATTAAAGTTTCTAGAAAACATTCGTTCACTGCATCAGCTCAGTCACTGCAGCCAATAAGCTTTGGGGAGTTCAATATTTAGAGGAACATTAAATCTTTCAGGACAGTAGGAGGCTGTTGCAGTTCCCTAACCGGTGGGCAGTGTTCATAGATACAAAAATGGCAATTTTTTTCCATGTAGTCAGAGCTCAACAGATGATAATAAATGAATAAATATCAGTGATTATAGTGCCTGGTGAGTCCACCATCATCTATTCAATTCATTATTGAAGATTTTGCATTTACATTGAAAAATAATAGAAAACAATAGTATCATAATTCTAGGAGGAAAGTAAACAATTAAAAAATGCTATTGAATATAGAATTATGCATCTTGAATCCTGGTACTAAGGAAAGCAGATTTAGTTGCAGAAAGAGCGGGAGGTAGAGGAAGACTAATGGAGGGGACCGTGGAACTGTGGACACCTCAGTTGGATACTTCAGAAATACATGGTACTGAGTTTTTGGAAATATATTTATTTATACAATATTTTAGATATTGAAAGTTTAGACAACAGTATGATGCATATAAACTCACCATCTAGTTTCATCAAATGCTAACATTTTGATGGCATCATTTTTTGCTAAGTAGTTTTATCATATATTTTCAAAATATAGGGTCTGGCAGAAGTAATGCCTGCTGAAGTGTGGCTTTATTATTGATTTATTATTTATTATTATCAAAGACAGCAGTTTGAACATTTCACCTAAAACATCATATATTGTGCTTGAGTGTGATATCGTTATGTTACAGAATTAAATGCTTATGAGTTTGTAATAAAAGATTGTGTAATAAAAAGGGGACGTTATTTGTGCCAGACCCTGTATATGGCTTAAAAAGTATCTTAGCTGAGGAATGATTAAATAAATAAAAAATATGCATATATTGGAATGTTATGCAGTTATTAAAAAATCATGCATTAAGAGACTTTTTATTTAGGGTGGAAATTCTCAATTAGGATACAAAAATCTCACATATAGTGGAATATAGATATAAATAAATAAATATAGATATGTGCAAGTAAAAAGCAAATGAGATATACTACAGTAGTAGTTATTTATCTTTGGGTGGTGGAATTATAGGTTACTTTGGATTATGGACTATGTTTTTCTTTTTACAGTTTCCTGTATTTCCCACAACTTCTTCAAAATTATTTTATTATTTTGGAAAAGAAAAGTATTTTTTTCCCAAAGCAAAAGTAAATAACTTTTGTTTTTAATATCATTAATATGTTTCTTTTGCACAGTTGCTGTGATAAGGGTAACATTTTGGCTTCCAAATGAGAGATAAAAAGGAGAACATGGTGGATAGAAAGAAAAGAGATTTCATGAGTTAAGTCAGGACTGGCCTAGGAAGCATTTCCCCTCACCCCTCTTCTAGAGGAATGGCCCACTCTTCTTGGGGAGCTCTTTCCAGATTTGCTCCTACATCTCAGAATGTCAGCGGTTGTCTGTCTCTCTCCCTCCCAGTGAAGTGCTGCGTTTATGTTTTCCCCCCCGCCAGCGCCTGGCCCATCCCCGCTGCAGGTTCCCTGCTGGAGCACCATACACTCACTGCGTAGACAGGGAAGAGTTCCTGCACGTTCAGGTCCCACTCGTTGATGTGGGAGCCGATCTGGACCCCGGGGAAGCCCAGCTCTTTCACACAGCGCTCCATCTCCTTGACAGCCAGCTCCGGGGCCTGCATGGGCAATGTCCCCAGACCCACGAACCTCCTGGGGTGCCTCGCTACGGTAGCAGCTAAGTCGTTGTTTAAAAACTGGCACAGGTCTAAAGTGTCCTGAGGTTTAGCCTGGTGGAGACAGGTAGGAGAAAACCATATCATTCAAAATCTACTTCCTTTGATATTTACTCTGAACAACACTTTTCCTAGGTTAAATCACTTGTCACTGTCAGGGGCTTGTCTATGCAGAAAGCTCAGGGACAGACTGAGATAAGCACTTGCTGCAGAAGACCCAGAAGCCAATCGTTGCAAAATCATTGCAGTCATTGCAAAGCAAACTGCTAGTATTGCTGATGAATTAGAAATATTGAGGCTATAATTTGAAGGGACGGACATGATTACTGGGCCTGGCATCCCCACCCACTGTAGAAAGGAGTCTGCAGACCTGTACACCTAGGCACCGCCTTCCCCCATATAGGAGGCGGGGCCTGGCCCCTGCCTGAGGACACCAGGGCACCTCCTTGTCACTCTCATTTTGAGATGTGAGGGTGTCCATACACCTCTCCTGTCCCTGTTTCTTCTCTTCCCTCTCCTTCTTGTTGGCAGTGACACTCACAGTTATCCTAGCAAAACGCTGATACAGATGAAGTTTGCTTTCTCTTCCCCTAACTTCTCCTTCTTCATTGATCTTTTTTCCTTTCAACATTTCACCCCACTGCCAGGAAAGTTGGTATTCTCCTGCAGTCCCAGTTGTCTAGTCAGAATGATACCCAATTTGATAAATTTAGACATATTGAGGCCTTAAGGGCATTTTTAAAGTCACGAATCTAATCACAGGAGCAATAAAGACCAAATCACTAGTACTGGAAATACAAGTACAGGTGGGTAAAGTATGTGTGAGCAGGTGGTATTTCCATTGCTCCTTAAATCACAACGCAAGTGACTACTAGTTCGAGCAGGTGCTTAGTGCAACCCCAGCTATGCACAAAGCTTTCCTTCCACAGGCTCGCAATTGTGCCGGAAACTTTTAGCACTAGAGACTTAATCATTTGGAGAAAAGTATCCAACTCCAGGAATCCTAGTTTGAATCATCTATTTCCCGGGGAGAGGCAACCTATCAGGCCATCATTATTGTTTCCACATCAAAATCATTGTCACCTCAGAATAAATTGGCTTGTTAATTACTGAGTAAGGCACTGCATGGATGAGCCATCAGACAAGTAAGCTCTGATCGAAATGAAGGTTGGGTGTGGAACTGCGCTGTCCAGTGGAAAGACAATGTGAGTCTGTCCTGGTTACTGTACTGGACCATGTGGGTCTAGAGCAGGCACAGGACTAAGAAGACAGGCCTGGGAGGGCACACTGCAGTGTGAGAGGCTGAGGGACCCCGCTGATCTCTAATGGAAAGAAGTGGAGGGGAGGGGAGGTAATGTCAAGACATGGGTCGTGTACCTACTTGCCAGACATGAGCCTTTGCCCACCAAGGAGATGGTTTGAAGTTTCACACTCACCCAGTAGCTAAACATGACAGGAACCGTGGAAAGGGCTTGCAGTGTCACTCCTAGACACAGATACAAAGAAAGGCAAAGCTAATGAGAAGAGTACCCAGACACTCCTTTTGCATTTCCCAGGGCCAAGGAGCCCAGGAATTTTCCACCCCAGCCTCCTCCTGCTCTCTCCTCCATAGCAGCCCCTCCCTGCCCATTTTCTCTCAGGGTCTCTGTTTCAGGCCTCCCTCATTCCTGTCTCTGGTGCTAGGAGGAGGGCTAAAGACTGGACAAAAATGAAGTAATTTATGAAGAACTAATTGATCCTTTTTGTCAAGAGTTATTTCCACTCTCCTTTTTGTGAAGTTCTATTTAAGCAAGACATCTCATCAATTTTTTTCAGAGCTTCTCATCTCCGATGATTCATGACTAAATGTATTTCTCAGCCACTTTACTTCAGCTCCTTTGTGGGTCTGGGTCCCACTGTCTGGAATGTTCAGAATGGGACCCTGGATTTGGCTCCAGAATGCCACGTTTAGCATTCCTAGAATCTCTTGTCTTCAAGCTCTTGGAGCTGGGGTATCAGGAGAGAGGCTGCCAAACCGAGGGTGGCTGCCCTTTCCATCATACCCACATCCAACCCACCAGCAAGGCCTGTTACCTCCACCCCAGTTCTTTTTATCCACCCATGTATCCCCGTCCCCTGCCACTGCCTAATCCAGGCCACCAGCATCTCCTATGGGGACCACTGCGGAGACCTCTGAATGGTGGTCTCCTACCACCATTCTTGTCCTTCTGTGGTTTGTTCTCCACTCAGAAATCAGAGTGATGTGTAAAACTTAGATCAAGTCATTCCCTTACTCAAAACTTCAAGGACTTCACATCATACTAGAATATAACCCAGACTTGAACACGGTCTGCTAGGCTCCATACAGTCTCTCCTAGGGCTCACATAATCTTTGTGGGCTTCCTGACTGTCCTTTAGGCCTCTTTCTGCCCCAGGACCTTCGCATTGCTGTTCTACATGCCTGAAATGCTTTTCTTTTGGCTCACCACAGGATGGGTGCCTTTTTACTCTAAGGTCTGAGTTCAAATGTGACCTACTCAGACAGGTTTTCCCACTATTTTCTATCCCATTTTCTATTCCTTCCCTTCCCTTCCCTTCCCTTCCCTTCCCTTCCCTTCCCTTCCCTTCCCTTCCCTTCCCTTCCCTTTCCTTTCCTAATAATGATTACAGCCTGTCATTTCTATACTTACTTGTTTATTCTGTGCTTCCCCTACTCGAATGTAAACATTACATGAGCCTGTCTCTCCATGCCATAGCACCGGCATCCCAAGCAGTGCTTGGCTCATTGAACATACCCAATAAATGACAGACTACAGCTTTTGATAAGACAGTATTTTTAAACATTGTCACTAGATATGATTTACATTCATTGGTTGGTATCAAACAGGTAATTTTCAACTGTAAAAACTTTTACATTTAATGTAAATATTTTTACCTATATTACTCTATTTCATTTCTCCATTTTATAGATTAGATGTAAGGCCACACATTTTGAAAGTGGTGTGATGAAGCACCTATCCAGCCTTGTTCCTTCCCTACATCCCAGTGGCCATCCCTTGTCACAATATTTCATATTGGCATAGTGAATTGTATTATTTGTGTGTTGGTTGGTTTGGATACATACTCTTTGGTCTCTGGGAACAAAAGGGGGAAAAACAAGTCTAATCCAATTAGAATTTATATTTTTTTTAAAATAGGGGTTTTAACAGTATGACATAGCACAAAGTTTCTCAAACTTATTTAGTGATTAAAATTGAAGGGTTGCAGAACATTGTAAAAACAAATTCGTAGGCCCTCCTTTGGAAATTCTGATTTAGTGAGTGGGGCCTGAAAAAAGTTTTTAACCAGTACCCCAGGTGATCCTTATCCTGAGGGAGATTTGGGAAAAGCTCTTGTGGTGGAACTGGAAAGATAGCCCTAGGTAAAATCTTGGCTCTGCTGTTACTAGCTGTGTGATCCTGAGCAAACCCCTTACACTCCTTGCACCCATAGGTAACAACAGGTATAACAATGCCTGCCACTTAGAGGTACTGAGAGAGGATTAAATGTGAGCAGGTGTGCAAAACCACGAAGGGTTCCTCTTGGGCCTCTTAGCCTCCGTCCGCTAAAGGACTGAGCTCCCATGCCAGTCCTCACTCGGCCTGGATCTCTCACCAACACCGACCTTCCTGGGTCTGTTCTAGAACAAGCTTCAACAGGAACTCAACCTAGTTGAGGACTTAGGAGACACTTACATGTATGTTATCTCATAGTTATTATTTTGGTCTTTCTTAGCTCTGTGTTGGCTCTTGTGCTGAAGTGACTCAGGGGCTGCCAGTTACATTTTCCTCCCTGTGAAGATGGCATGGATTGCTGGAATCTTCTGTGTTCAGCCTTCATCATTTTGTTTTCTTATCTTTGTAGAGGTGGTAGGATGTAGTTGTTAAGCCCTTGGGGCCGGACTGCTGGGGTTCAAATTCTGGTTCGGACCCCTACAAATTAAACTGTACGATTCTGGGCAAGTAGTTTAACCTCTGTTCCTCAGTTTCTTCAGCTGTAAAATGGGCATGATAATAAATGCTCCCTCCTAAAGTTGTTGCTGGGATTAAGTGAGTTAATAAGTGCTGGGTGCTGAAAAGAGTGTCTGGCACAAAGTAAATGCTCAGCAAAGGATATCCATGACTATTCTCTCAAAGACAGCCAGTGAATGAAACGCACAGCAGAAACCTAAGGAGACATCCTTCATTTAAACCAACACCAGTCATCTGAGTCTCATTTCTACTAGTTTTCTCCTTGAACATCAGGGTGGGGGGTGGGAGGGGGTGCGAGGGGGGTTAGGATCTTTGTTCAAGCTTTACTTTTAGAGCAAAGCTTTGCTCTTTGCTGTAGGTCTGAGAAGCTTGCTCTTTCTCCAGCTCCCCTCCCACCTCCAGATACTTCTAGAACAGGAGCACAGAAACTGTGTTGTGTGGAATGGTCTGCAGAGGTGCTCGAGGCTTCTGCTAAGTTCGATTTAAATGCCATGTAAATATATGTTTAATTATTTTAAAAAAACCATGAAGCAATTCCTGGCCTAAAGTATCCTGGCCCAAATTCTAGAATGCCAGAGACCACTTCCCCATTTGGGGCTGACAGGTTAACACATTTTGTGCAGATTTTAGAATAAAATGTCTCCTGCCCTCTCTGTGTATTTATTTTAACTTCTTATACGTTTATCTCTGATTAAGAAGGTGGTAGTTCTAAGCTGCTCTTTCATTCCTGGGTATGAATTGTTTGTGTTCTGGTTTAAGTCTAGACCACTGATGTTAAAATTTAGGCCTGACAGTGTTGTAGTGGTGAGCTCCCCGTGAGCACTGTGCGTGTCCAGAAGGCTCTGCATCTTTGGGTGGCACAGTCAGCCAGGCAGAAACAAGTGAAAGCACACTGTGGCCATCATACCATATTTTGGATAGTCTTTAAAATTCTTTTAAATCATGGAGACTTGTTTGCTTTTTAAATAAAAGATAAGGAATGCAAAGCAGTTCTTAGAAATCATTAGTGATTCAGCTTGGAAACAAAAATTTCCCAATTCTCTTCTTTCAAATTTCTGAATTGGTTTTATTGTAGACTATTCTGAGAGTATGCTATTAACTTCCTTTTTAATTGCTCTCATTTCCACCCATTATGTGTCAACAGGGACTTTCTGTGTACTGTGCTCTGAGACAAACTATAGAAAGAAATTGGATCCTCAATCTGACTAAGCAGGAAATTAGCTTCTTTACTCTGTGAATTCTAATTTTTGCTGTTTTAAATGACTTTATAATACTACTATACATTTGAACTTACAAAGCTTTAAAATAATAAAATAACACTTTTTATGATATAACATTCTCCTTTAAAACAGGGTATACCTAGTTTTTAAATATTTTAATCCACACTAAAAGCATTACAGTGGCAGGTCCCATTTTCCCGCCAACGCCCCCCACCCCCCACCCCCCGCAGTGAAACTGGAGCAGTCTGGCCAGGCGGAGAAAGGGCGCTTGGAAGTGACCATCATGTAAATCCTGTAAAGTGGCCAATGGACTTTTGGGAGAGACATGGCTTTTATATCAGATGTAATCACTGGTAACATTTCTTATTTGTAAGTACCTGTTTGGTCCATTTCTTTAATACGGACTTCTGGATCCCAGCAGTTCTCTTGGACCACCCTGAAAACCTTCCCATCTTTCAGCATCTTTGCTTCTCCCTGGGGCAGAAAACGCGCATCAACAAAAGCTAACCTGAGTTTACTTAGATTAATCCTTGTTTGTATGCTTTGGAACTTGGTTTTCCCATAACATTTTTAGGGGTGTTTACTTAATCCTCAATGAAGTAGAAATCTGTTCATTTAACAGAACCCAGCTTTTCATCCTCATGCCTTAATGTTGTCCTGGAATTAAATTAATATTGGCCAAGAATTGCCTCTCGTGTGCCCTCAACTGGGGACCTGGCCTGCAACCCAGGCATGTGTCCTGACTGAGAATTGAATCAGTGACCCTTTGGTTCACAGGCCAGCACTCAGTCCACTGAGACACACCAGCCAGGGCAAATTTTTTCAACCGCAAAACAACTTCTGTTTTCCCCCGAAACTTTCAAAAGAAAACCAAGTTTCTGTTTTTAATTAAAGAATTCATCAACCAATGATCATCACCCCAATAACCCACTTCAAATATACCACTAACATTTTTAGGCTATAACAGCATGGTGTAGTGGAAACTGTGGTATTGCTGGCATCAGGAGACCTGGATTCTATGTCACTTACCCTCCCAGAACCTCAGATTCTAACTATAAATTAAGTGATGTCTAAGGTTCTTCCCACGATGGTGTGATGTGTCATTCAGATTCCCTTTCAGGAATGAAGGTCTTATTCTCCCAGCTGCTGGGAGTGCTGCTATCAGACAGCTCTTGGCTATCAGCCCCTGTGAGGAGATAAGAAAACTGCCACAGCTGAGGAGAGCCACCTCCCTCACAGTCCTGCTTCACTTCTAGTGAGTGGTTGACATGGAGGTATAAAGGCTTCTCTGCATTGGCCCTCTTGGGACACCCTGGGACAACTTGGGACAACTATGAAGGTTATCTTTCAAGATCCTTGCAGGGTCATCTGAGACCTCCATTTAGACTACATTACAGCTCAACTTTGCCCTGTGTTCTATTCTGCTTCCTTTTCTTCCCTTCCACTCATGTCCATGCTAAGAGAATTTCCTGACAAACTTCCTGTACCCCAATCTCTGCCTCAGAGCCTGATTCCCAGAGAACCTAAGTTGTGACACTTCTGATTCTTAATTTCTATTCTAATACCATCTGTGAATAAGTTGTAATATGGATGGTATTTCAAATGTCTAGGACCGCGTGTATCATTAAAAATGTATTTTCAAACTCAGTATTTCACATAGGATTTCCATTCTCATTCCCTTGCCCCAGTGCTCACTCAGGCTATCCCTCTAGATCACACGAGCTATCATGTTGCTTGGGTTTGGGTGCAGAGTTGTCAGAAATGGCCCAGACACTGTCACCAGGAAGCAACCTCTGTTACCACTCTTACTTGCACATTCCCAGGTTCTGAAGGACAGCTCCATGGGAGGGGCTACTAGGACAACCTTTGCTCTCCCAGACCTGCCTGTCCTCCTGGCTTGGTTGCTTCTGTCCTTGATGCTTGCATTATCTTTCTCATCCCTTTGAGATGACATCATTTTTTTTACTTCCTTCTGCCTGACACGTTACCATTCAATCCATTTCCCAAAATAATTAATTCAACCTCCAAAACAGATCCTAAATGGTTCATTTTCCTCCATCTCCACTGCTACAGCCCTGGTCCAAGTTCCATCCTCTTTCACCTGAAGGACTACGCTAGCCTCCAGCCTAATCTTTCTGAGTACACTTTTAAAACCGTAAATCAGGGCTTTTGGTTAACATGGTGGCATAGGTAAATGCGGTACTCTCATCCTCCCACAACAACATCAAAATTACAGAACAATCATCATTTAGAGCTGCCTGAAATCTAACTGAACAAAAGTCCTACAACTAAGGATAATAAAGAAGCCACATTGAGACTGGTAGGAGGGGCAGAGACACAAAAGGGACTAGTCACACACCCACTTGTGGTAGATAAAAATCAGGAGGCATATCTCAGCTATGGGGGTATCCCCTGAGAAGTGAGGGGTCCCCGGCCCACACCAGGCACCCCAGCCCAGGGTTCCAGTGCCAGGAAGAGAAGTCCCCATAACTCTTGTCTGTAAAAACCAGCAGAGATTGTGGCTGAGTGAGACAAAGGGCGGCTGGAGTTTCAGGCAGTTTGTCTTAAAAAGCCCACACTGGTACTTACTCAGACTCACTCCCTAGAACTCTAGTGCTGGGGCAACAACTCAAAAGGCACCAGAGATATACAGGGAGGAATTGAACTGTCTGGCACCATAGCTAGAGCTGGAGGGTCAGCTTTCTCTCAGACAGAAGTGCTGGCAGAGACCATTGTTCCTTTGATGAGCTCTCCTCCAACAGAGCAAGCAGCCCATCACCATATCTGAGTCTCCATCATCCTGGCTATCACCGACTGTTCTCCCCACCATGGTGATTCACTGAGACTCTGCCCTATCCAATTTTCTGGACCATCCAAATTGTTTCCAGTGACTTTTTTCATATGAGTGGACTGGCTTCAGACTTTCCTGAAATCTTTCAAACAAGTAGCACCTGGCCTCAGCATGCCCATACCTCTCACTGAGTAGCCCCTGGCCTGGCACTAGTGGCAGCCAGGCTTGGTGCACAGCTTGGCCTCTCCTGGGCACCTCCAAACCCAGCACAAGTAGCATCCATCTGCAAACTGCTTTGTAGCTCATGCCATGTGGCCCTGGGCAGAACACAGGTGGCAGCTAACCTTGGCCTACACCTCCCAGGAGGCCCCAGAGCCAGTGCATCCAGTGGATAGCTTCAGACCACATCAGGGCACCACCACACAACCCCCTCCACAAGTGGAACACTTAGGAGCAGACTCAGAAGGCACCAGAACCCCACTGAAGCAAGTCCTGCTCTTTGGGGTAGGCCCTGGCATAGCTGATCCTATATGGTGGTCACAGCCAGTCCTTGTAGCCAATCAGCCTGGGAGTAAATCCCTTCCATTGACATGCCAGCAGCAATCAAGTCTCAACTACGACAGGAAGGTGTACACAGCCCACATGGTGGGGGGCACACAGCATGGGTGTATGGGAAAGGTATGCCACTGGACCTTACAGGACACCTACTATATTAGGCCATTCTACCAAGTCTAAGGGATGTAACAGCTCTACCGAATACATAGAAACAAATACAGGGAGGCTGACAAAATGAGAAGAAAAAGAGATATGTAACAAATGAAAGAACAGAACAAAACTCGAGAGAAGGAACAAAACAAAATGTAGTCAAGCAATCTACTAGATGAAGAGTTAAAAGCACTGATTATAAGGATGCTCAAAGAACTTAAAGGAAAAGTAGATAAACTTAGTGAGAACCTCAACAGCATAAGAAGGGACATGGAAACCACACACACACACACACACACACACACACACACACACACAAACCCGGTCAGAAGTGAAAGATACACTAACTGAAATGAAGAATAATTTACAACAGTAATCAGCAGTAGAGTAGATGAAGCTCAGAATCAGATCAGTGACTTGGAATATAGAGAAGCAAAAAATATCCAATCAGAACAGCAAAAAGAAAAAATAGAGCATTTGCATTTTGGGGATGCCAGAAGGAGAAGAGAGAGAGCAAGAAATTGAAAACTTATTTGAAAAAATAATGATGGAAAACTTCTTTAACATGGTGAAGGAAGTAGACATACAAGTCATGGAAGCACAGACAGTCCCAAACAAGATGAACGCAAAGAGGTCCACATCAAGACACATCATAATTAATATGACAAAGGTTAAATACAAAGAGAATCTTAAAAACAGCAAGAGAAAAGTAGTTAGTTACCTACGAGGGAGCTTCCATAAAACTTCCAGTTGATTTCTCAATAGAAACGTTGCAGGCCAAAAGGCATTGGCAAGAAATATTCAAAGCGATGAAAAGCAGAGGCCTACAACCAAGATTATTCCACCCAGCAAAGCTATCATTTAGAATCAAAGGACAGATAAAGAGCTTCCCAAACAAGAAAAGGCTAAAGGAGTTCAGCACCACCAAACCAGTATTACATGAAATGTTAAAGGGCATTCTTTAAGGAAAAGAAAAAAGGATAAAAAAATATGAGTAATAAAATGCTAATAAATATATATCTACCAAATACTGAATCTAAAAAACAGAATAAATGAACAAACAGAAAAGAAACAGACTCATAGATACAGAGAACATTTTGATGACTGCCAGATGGGAGGAAGTTTGAGAAGGTGAGTGAAAAAGAGGAAGAGATTAAGAATCACAATATGGTTGTTACAGAATAGTCACAGGGACTTCTGGTCAAGATGAAGGTGTAGGTGGACATGCTTCACCTCCTTACACAACCATAAGAAGGATCACAGCTAATCTCAAAACAAAAGCACCCAGAACTGCCAGAAAATTGAACTGTATGGAAGTCTGACAACTAGGGATTTAAAGAAGCCATATTCATCTAGATGGGTAGGAGGGGCGGAGACAGGGAGCAGGGGCTGATAGGATGCAGTGTGTGATGACGAGGCAGTGACAGCGAGGCAGTGACTGGCAGACACACATTCATGTGTGGTGGATAAAAACTGGAACGGTTACTTTGGGAACAAGGGATCCCAGCCCCAGGCCAGACCACATAGCCTAGGGTTCCAGCGCTGGGAAATAAAGCCTCATAACTTTTGGCTGTAAAAATCAGTGGGGGTTGGAGTGGTGGGAGAAACTGTCAATCTCTTGAGAGAGTCCATTTAAAGGGCCCACATGGTTCTAGAATGTATGCAAATGAACCCACTCTAGGAACCACAACCAGGGCAGCAGATAGTGGGGTGCCAGTCACGTGTGGGAAGAGGGTGAAGTGACTAGAAATGGGATGAGTGCTAAGCAAGACTATAGCAGCCTCGCAGCGGCATTGTCCCCTCTTTGCCCCTTCCTCTGCCACATATAGAGCCACAAAGTGGTGAAGCAAGTTGCCCACCCTGGCAAACACTTAAGTTTCCACCCCATACAACTTAACAGGTGCTCTAAGACAGGGAATCAAAACAGCTCTACCTAATACACAGAAACAAACATAGGGAGGCTGCCGAATTGAGGAGA